CATCCGCTGAAGCAGCTTTCTTTCAAGAAATATCTAAAAAAGATCCTCTTATCAATGTGATACCCTTCAACTCAAAGAGCAGCATTAGCTGAATGCAACATTTCTTATGCACTCATGACACACTACTCGTAATGCAGAAATGTACAGTAACTCACTGATGAATTGTTTGGGGAACTGCTCTCAAGTTCACAGCCTAACCCTAACCCCGTTCAGTCAGACCCTAGATTCAGACTAATGTTTATGGCCCTCCAAGAACCTGGCACTTATATCGCAGTCGAGCCTCAACCCCACAATTGTCACCAGTCCTGTGCACAGCAGAGCTTGGACACTGAAGAGTCCACCTCTAACTTTCACATCTTACACTTTGAGCCCTGTTACACTACCTCCACACCTGACAAAGAATAATGAGGTCTGCAGAGGCTGGATTTCATTTCAAAGCTCTCACTTGGCCTCGAGAGATTAAGAATTTTTCTCCCTGACCCACTGACCAATGCATCACCGAAACTGATTATACTGTCACCACTTGACATACCAAATAACCCCTCACCTAATAAGGAAAGGCAAAGAGTAACAGCTTTTTATTTCCATTTTATAACACAAATCCAACCTCCCGCACCACAGAAAAAACAGTGCTCTTCAATGACAAGTGAAGAGGCTGGAACCATTAAAACACTTTTCTTCCTTTTTTGGAGTCTCTCTTCATAGGTTGATCAATACAAAATACAGCTCTTGATAAGACGTCATCTTCATTTATCTGCCCGATGAGAGATCCCTTAATTAAACCACGTTCTGCTCAGCTCAAATTTTATGTGTAAGCACTTTAGGTGAAAGATGTTTTTAAAAAAACGATAGCGGCTATTCGAGTTCACTTCCATTAATGGGAACAAAAAAACCCCGAAGAATATCGACTAACATACTATATTATTTGCTCATTTAGTTTCTATCTCTGAGCTGAATGGATTTTCTCAAGCGCTTGGCCGGATGGGGGGTGATGCTGCACAAATCAAGACATAAGCTCTTCTCTCAAGGTAGAGTAGTGCAGTTTCAGCCACTCACTAGCAACTAATGACAACAGGACAGGAGTCTTGGGGATTCTGTTGTATGGCAGGTCTGAGCAAATCGTTCAACTGTGGCCAAGAAAAGAAAACTTGTCGCTAATGAGAAAGTATTGGTTCTGAAAAAGTGTTTTTTGTATTATATTGCTTGATATCCTTCAGCAGCATATCTGTACTGGACAAAAAAAATACCCTTGTTAGGCCACATCTGGAATACTACAGTTTAGGTCCCTATGCTACAGCTGCATTGCATTACTTGAGTCCTTTTGATGACTAATATCGACAATCTTTCTGGTATTCTAGTATTTTATAAATACTAATTATTCATATAGCAAAAATTAAAGTTAGCCACATGCCAATGATAGTCATATAGCATTATTCATTGAATTGCTGCTTTGAAGTTTCATAGCTAATTTTCTTATTCATTGCTCTGATGAGAATTTCCTGAACTACACAACTAAAGGCTGATATACACACACTTCGTTTTATTATGCCTGATGCCTATCTGCCACACATTACAGTACATACCAATTTTAGTCAATACCAGTAGCATGCAGAACACTTCAAGTATATTTTCAAGCAGGTGTAAAAGACTTGAAAATGTAAAAAAAAAAACTAAAAGGTATGTGGAAAAAAATGCATAAATCAGCTTTAATGCATATTGTTTTTCATTATACCATCTAAATATCATGTCCCAGTAGGCCACTACCTCACCCTGGAAGCTTGCAAGGGTACCCATGTGCCCAAGCGTTGCCAGCTCTAAGGTGTTTGACTAGCTGGTGAGGTGACTAGACAATGATCAGATCTCAAACCATGTCTTCAGCTGAAAGTTTGTTAAAGCGAGTAAATAAAAATGCTGTCTACTATCCCAGGTGTCCTTCATACAATCACAAAAAAGACATGGTCTGGAAAGCTATTTCATCTACTTCTGGTGCACAGCAGGAGTACTGCAATTCACAAATTATATGACAAACATTGACAGAAATATAATGGAATTATTGTATAATTTCATTAAACAGCACAATATGTTGTAGATTTACTGAATAGTTTCAATAATGTGAATGTTGTATGTTCCTATGCCACTTATCTTAAGTACAGTGTGTAAAGATTAGGATATGAAAACAAAAAAGTATTATATAGTACACCACTCTACTCCAAGCCACACCATTACTACATCAGACAAATAAAGGGCAAGGTTAAATTAAAACACAAACATTATGCTACAATAATATTAATATCTTGCTTTGATGGTGTGTTGATTAGTTTAAGGCACTGTTATTAAGGAAAGAACAAAATGTACTAAAATAGTATACTTCAATATAATTACATGTATTTCAAACTCCCGGAGTCTAACATTACTCTATTGCATTAATTATTATGAGATAATAATTTCATTATTCATCAATACATTTAAAGAATGTAAACCATTAAATAAGGGGATATGACTGTCTGTACATTTATTTTCAAGTTATAAATATTGTAGTCTTCTTTTAATTTGTAACATAGCACAAACCTTACATTAAAGACAGTCTCCAGTAAATTCCAGTTTCCAATACTTGTTTATGCCTCAGCCACAGGCAAATATTCCAAACTCCAGGTCCATATATAAACCACATATATACCACATGTATAAACCACAGCAAAAAATATCTAGTGTAGAAAATGCACCACAACTTCAGAAGGAACAGTTGGAAAATATTCATGTACTCTTATTACACTGCAAACCAACATCAATGAAGCAAAAAAAAACATTGTGTAACTATTAGCTTATGGTAATCACTGATAACACACAAACTATAGAGCAACAGCAGGAAATGGACAAATGCTCTTAGGTAACTCACTGCTGCCAGTTTCTGCGCTACTCTATTACACCATTGTCTGCTTTGGACTCCCAATGTTCACGCTATTTTCACAAAAATATGAAGCTGCAGTGATCAGCGTGCACGACACTAGTCTTGCACAAGAATGTGCCTTGAACAGCTAACAGAGAAATAACAGTGACAATGTTTGCATGCTTACATGTAAAATGAGCAACTCAGTGACAAATACTAATTACTCACTGTTAATTAAAAATAAGTGATTGGATGTACTCCATATCAGATGAACAAGTTAAAGGTTTATTCCATGGTGAAAAGAGCATGGTGGCTTCTTCAGAAGGCTCCACAGACGAAACGTTGCATTTCCTTTCTTCTCTTTTCAGCACGGAATAAACCTTTAACTCTTTCTTTTGCAGCCTACGCTCAGCTCCCTACTTGAACTACTCCATATCAGATGTCAGCCAGGCCAGCCCAGGTGTGCACATTGAAACCACCAGAACATAGGTATTTGTGTGCTGTTAAAAAGCACAGGATTATATGCAGATATTCATTCTAAGTAAAGTGTTTTTGGATATTTGAAAGCAACGAGTCTCGGAGTTACTCCAGATGGCATTTTAGGAGTAAAAGTCAGAATTTCAGCTGTCATCATCTGTTTACTGAGCAAGCTACCTCTTGCTATTTAGAAATCACCAACAGCTAAGGCAACCAAATCATATAATATATACCAATATACCAATAATCATAGAATATTATGTAGAATAGAAGATGACATTTTTAGTGTACCAATCACCTTACTGTGTAAAGCTCTGTATTCCATATCAAAACTCAATTTCCTCTTGAGCCCCCAGGTCCCCGTTTCACTGCTGGTTTTGAATAAACTCCCCGGACTAAGTCTCTCAATCCCTTTCAAGATTCTGTGAACCTGAATTAAGTGCCCATGCAATTAAGCATCCCAAATCCCAGGATCCTGGACTCTTCTACAATACTGAAATCCTGGGGTGGAAAACATATATATTTGAGGATATAATGACAGAGCATTATAATATGATTTTTATATAGAGCAAAGCATGTGTCAAAATCCTTTATCTCAAAGAAAGAGACACCCTGCAAACACATGAATTAATTCACCTACATATTTAACCTTAATGAACTTGTGTATTTAGGAGCGGAGCAGTGTACATGGCAGCCTGTGAGTAATGTGTAACAGAGCACTACACTCCCATCAGTCACACCATGCCAAAGACATTCATGTCAGTAATTAGCAAACACCACTTTTTACAGATGAAGCCCTCCTCAGGGCGAGACAAAGAGATAACAGGTGTCAGGATGCAGGTACAGTTGGATTCTAACTTCAAAATTAAGAACTGCAAAATGCAGGAAATGTTAAAGAGAATTCTTCTAATTACCCTACCTTCAAACTGCATCTATTGCAGCTACAGTGACACTAGTGCTGTGGCTCCTTATAACATTACTGACCTCAGGCTGGCTCTCCACACCTGGCCCCAGTGAACCATCAGCACAAACCCCCATCGGACAGGCTTCTGAACACTGACAATGGAAGGCAGGCTGGGATTTTGACTCTTGTCTCTCCGTTTAGGGAGCTTATCATTTGTAATAAATTCACTGTGCTAGACTGCAGGTTACAAATTCTCTCTCTATGTGAAAAAAAACCTTTTGAACTAGCCCCCCTGGGACTCTCTGCATTCTCCACATCATGTCAGGCAATTTTCCTCTGGATCCCTGGGATGTAAACTGCAGTTTAACAACAAGAACATTTTTCCTCAATAAGGAGCACATTATCTTTCCTTGTAAAGTCACTTTAGAAATGTTTCATTTCATTTCTAAATGAATTTGTCTTTTTTGTTAGAGCAGTTTCTAATTATCACTCCTTTGCTTCTTTCAGTCTGGGCATTTGAGCTCAAGTCTTGAGCATTAAAAAGAAAGAAGGATTCTGCAGGGAAGAATGCATAGTTTTCCATGGTATTTGAAGACGACAGTTTTCTGGAGCTTCAGATTTCCCCCGACACAGCCTGATAGGAGTTTAAGGGAATGAGGGACCGGGTTATCATCTTTCACAAAGTGGAACAAGTACAGAAAGCACAAAGGGAAAAGAGGGAGCAAAATTTACCTTTTGCCAGTCTCTCCAGCCTCTTCCCATGTTCAGGAGGGATGGCATACCTGGGAAAACAAAGAACAGTATTATTATTCACTGGTGCCCCATGATTTTAAACCTACTGGGTTTAGATATTTTATCACAATGCTCTATATCCCAAATCTGTAGGAAAGCCTCAGCAGAATATACAGCCAAGGACTAATTTCACATTTAAGATAAAACCTGACAGGTTATGAACAACGAATGCTACTTCAACAGTTGAACATGCTGCGATATGTAGGGTTTTTCAGAACACCTCCACCTCCTTCCTGAAAGGCACAGGGACTTGAACGAGGGACCTGCTGTCAGTAGTGCTGGAGAATGTCTAGTAAATGCATGCATTTTTCTAAATGTACAGACAAGCTTCTTCTCCTGCTGAGCTGTGCAGCTGGAGCCAAAAGGAAAAACTAAGAATCTATGGGTTTCATTTTAATAAGGGGATTTAGGAAAGACATGGCCCCTGTCAGAGCACCAATATAAAGAGTTAGGTGTAGAGCAAATAGATTCCCCTCTTCAAGAGCATCTCCGGGGATTTTAAGATTTCTTCACACAGAGTTGCTTCATTAAGATTTTCTGTGCCAGGTCCAGGTGCCTGTTCTGCAATCAAAGGGAGGGCAGCACTTTGTGTCACTCTTGTGAGAGCAAGCTTTTGTGATAAGGAGAGAGAAGACCACAAATGAGCCTAGTAAGGTTTGCTACTAATAATGACTGTTATAAGGATATTTAACATCGATATGGCACTTAAGTGACAGACCTGTTCTACAAAACATTGAGTGGAGCAGAAACTGACCAGTAATTCTTACTGACAGATATGAGCTCGACCACATCTAAGCAACACTAAACTGCATTCTCACCAGATAAGGTTTTTGACCATTTTTCTGTTGTATTGGAGTGACAACCCATCAGAACCTAAAACCTTTTTTTGTTTGCTTTGGAAGTACGATATGGACAGCCTCTTCTTTTACCCCAGTCTCCAATATTTTTTATTGCCAAAATATTTTATTTTTCAAACAGTTATTACCATGATGATAGTGGAGAGAAACTGAACAGCAGAACAGTACTACACGGTGCTCACCTCTGGAGTTCATAATAGCCAAATATGTTGGAACATTCTTTGGGGATCAATGCTTCGATCTAATGGGGAAAAACTCCAGCATAGGTCCCTATGGAATGAGCTTGATATGAGACTGCATCAGACATTTCACACTTACAGGATCAGCACAAGAACAAAGTCGTACCAAACGACTTTCCCATAATCCCATCACAGCACGCAGCAGCCTCATTCACCAAATTATACGGACCTCTAAGAAACAAGCCTGCTAACAAGATTTCACCAAAATCCTGTTCTCCTCGTTGTTGTGTTCCCTCTCCTCAGACACGCGCACTTTACAAAAGGAGAACTCTTTGCTTGGAGAGCTCACGTCATGCTGTGAAAATCAGCTTTTTCTTAAAACAATGAACAAACACCAAAGAAACTTGAATTCACTTGACTACAGATATGAAAAATGATTAAATGAAAAGCAGAGAAATTCACACTTGGTGAGCAAGTTGCTCATGCTGTGAAGGCTGGATGCCAAAGGCAGATCTTTCCAGGTTTCCTATGAATGGTTTTCTTGGTCAACTCACTACATTACAAAAAGGACTGCATTAGTGAAAAGACCAGCTTTTCTATAACCTTATCCCCAAGTTATTTTGAAAGGTCTTTGATCTTCATGGTTGAATCTTTGCATTAAATTAACTTCTTAAATAAAGGACCTTGAAGAGACAAGTGTATTTATTCTAAACTATTAATCACGAGAACCAGTATATCTATAGAAAAACAGGCTATTCAACCACTTGCGTGACTTGTCAAAGTAATTTTTTGCACATGAACTAATTTGCTTACCATAGCAAAGGGGATGAATTCGTGTGCAATAAACAATTCAGTTCCTTTTGTAGTTTTGCCAACTTTATAACATCTTCCACCATTAAAATTCTGAAAAAGTACATCATTTATAATTCAAGAAGGTGGAACATCTTCTGAAGGAAGTGAATTTTGCAAGGCACTGTAAGTTATGTACAAAAATAAACAGATGTGAATCTAATTAGAACCTGTCTGCTATTATGAGACTTTAGTATTCCTTAGTCGTCATGGAAACAAAATGCAAGCCCAGAAATGCAAAACAAGACACAGGTTTCTGAACTTTGCAACTTTAGAACTTGCTGAACCTGCCCACAACCACTTCAGATCATTATTTTTGTCTACGACGTAGGAGTAATTTAATAAGTTATCAAAGTTGAGAATAAATGATTTTCTGAAAAAAGACTCTTGAATGACTTAACTATTTGAACACTAACTCATCATGACAGATTTAAGATTTATTTTTACAACACCATAAATGTGTTCATATTTTATGATTTGCTAACTAATACCTTTGGGCAGGATGCTAACTTTTACAATACAGTTGTACAGTTTTGTTTGTTGAGCTTTGCACTCCTCCATTACAGTGAGTCAATTCTGAAGATAACATCCAGAGATGTGCATTCTCTTCCTCCAAACACTCTTACTAAATATTTTGAATGTCCCTTTTTTAAAGATTCAGAACATTTCTTCCCCTCTTTTTGACAGATATCCTAGAGGTACCCATTGACTTAGCTCACTTTAGAATTTACACTATTTTGAATTTTGTAAGAAGTAGCACTGATATCCTCAAGATCACTACATAGGGAAGGACTGTTTTGCGCCTTTCTCTATGCTCTCTGCCTGCATCCTGGTATGCCCACATGAACCTCAGCACTATAGGAGGCAAAATAAATTTCATAATATTAAACTTGTAAACAAAAATAACATCTCCAGTTCATCTCCATCCATGTAATTTCTTCTATTTGTAGTGTTCTCAAATTCTCCCTCTGCCATTTCATCTTCCACATACTCATCCTGCAGCTCACAGCTGGCAGCCCACTGTGAGAGCCTGGCCAGTACCTGGTTGGGAGACCTCCTGGGAAAAACTAAGGTGACTGCTGTTAGAGGTGCTAGAGGGGCCAGTAGGGGTGATTACTCTGCAGTTTGTGTGGGTCCCAATGCCCCAGTACAGTGACGGGGACACTGTACTGTAAAAAGGCGCTGTCCCTCAGATGAGACATTGAACCAGGGTCCCAACTCTCTGTGGTCATTAAAAATCCCAGGGTGTTTCTCGAAAAGAGTAGGGATGTCACCCCAGTGTCCTGGCCACATTTCCCATTGGCCTTTACCAGTCATGACCTCCTCATAATCCCCCTCTCTGAACTGAGTTCATCACTCTGCTCTCCTCTCCACTGAGAGCTGGTGTGTGGGGAGCGGACTGGCGCACTATGGCTGCACACTGGTGGTGGTGGAGGGAATCCCCATTACCTGTAAGGCACTTTGAGAGCAGTGCTGTATAAGTGTAAGGGATTATTATTATTCAGCATCTGGTTCGGAATGGCTGCCATACAGCTCCCACACTGGTGCTTCCCTTCAGCTGGAAGCCAGCCCCCCAACACAGACTTACAAAGGGCTCTAGAGTCCTTGGGGAGAAAATGTGAAAAATTAGTGCAAAGTGTTTCCCAAAAAATAATCTGATAAACAATCGGATAGGAAAATGTTTTAAACTATGAAGATTTTCCAGTTGGACAATCAGCTAATATATTCAATATTCTGTAGCATCTTCTTCAACCCTTTTTCTCCTCTGACACAGCCGAACACGAATAACTATTCAAATGGCTTATAAATTTTTTGTCAGCCACAGCCCATGTAATGTTAGTAACAATGCAGCAGTACAGAGAAACAGCTCTTTAGAAGTCAATGTGCCTTCTACGAGAAGCTGACAGTGAGAGACAGTTTAGTTTCTCACAAGTCCCCATAAATAATTTGTATTCTACGTGGGCTGAGCTATTTATAGGGTCACTTGCTTGTGTTTAGTTTGATGGATGCAAACAATTATCCTAAAGAAACCACACACAAGAAATAATGACTTTTGCTTTCAATTCAGCTCTAACAACCTGACTAAATGAACAAAAACACATTAAACATCCGCACATCTGATAGAACTTAACAAGTGTGTAGGATGGGACTGAAAGTAGAAACACTGCTGTGCAAATGCACTTTACAAATCATTTTATTAGCAAAGTAGCTAATGTTTCAGATGGAAATTATTTATCTGATAATGTGAGATACACAAAGTACAACTGGCAATCCTATTATTGCATGCATGTAAAAAACCCACAGCATTTTGTAATAAGCTTTCAACAATGAAGTATTTACTAAACTAACAAAGCCATCTACATAAAACAGTTCTAAAATGTTATTGATGGAAAAGTTCAATGTCCTAATTTCAAGTATGTATTTATTAATAATTGCATGTGTATATATTCCAGATAAATAAATAGTCCATATATTCCTATTACCCAACAATACCAGGGTAGCACGTGTAAGGATGTAAGCTAGATGTGCAAGATTAAGCTGACTTCTCAAAATTGATTCTAGGAAGACTTGAATAAAAACACAAATAGAAATAGTTTCAACAGCATAATAATCTCACTTTACACAAGACAGAATGAAGAAACAAACCGATGGCATCTCAAAGTAATTCATTCTAATTCTCTCCCTGCTGCTCTTGCCAATATAAAACAAGACAGAAGGCACCACAGATACACTGTCTGCTGGCTGTTTGGAGAACAGTGTCACTACTTACCAGTAACCAAAGGACTAAGCAGAAAAAAGCAATTTGGTGCATGAAGTACATTTCCAAAATCAATACTAATGAGATGTCTCACTGCGATGGCTGCCTTTCAAGGAAAAAAAAATCTGTTTGTTTTGATGGGTAAATGTGATCTGAGCAGATTGTTTCTAATGCCAGACCTTTTAAGTCTTATACTTAATGAAACGGACAGGTGTCAGAAAAGTGAGACTACGAAAGGCATTTGAACAACAATCAGATAGAAGAAAGCCTTCACAGAACTGCATCACTTCTAAAGTGCCAACTCTCGAGATTGAAAAAATCTCATTCAGTTGTCTTTGATAAATGGA